GCGCCCCCCGCCGGCCGCAGCCCGCCGTCGTCCCCAGCGCGCTCCGCCCGCAGCTCCTCACCTCCAGGAGAGGTAAAGGGGCTCTCACGCCTGCAACGGCGCCGTCGGAGACCCAAGGGGCCGCCGCGCTCAGCCCTGCGCTAGACTCCAACGGCTCTCATAGGGCTCCGTTAGACTGGACAGGAATTACTAGGGACTGCTAACAGATAATCCTGCCCTTTGATTCTAGTGTGAGACTCTACCAGAATCTTTTCGAATCTACTAATAGATTTATCTAGTAGTACAATTTTGTATTGGTAATATTCATATGCATTGATGCTATTAATGCAATTTCCTAATACTGTCTAAGAATATCTAGAGTAGCTGTAGTAATTACTACTAAAATCATCTGTACCCTCTCAGAATGCATTCATAGAAAGACCACTCAGCATCCACTGTAACTATTTATACACGTACCTCATAGAATTGAACAGATTCCAGGAACACAATCTATGACTAGAGTTACCTAGTAGTACCTATTAATATCTATTGGAGCCATTAATATAGTAGCACCTCATAGTACAGTTTTTAAAATGTTAGTATCTATTGGAATCTAATCACAGAATTATCATTCGTAATTACTGTCTATATTAGCTATTAATGAAATAACTACTATCTAATAACCTACCCAGTGAATTGAGATAGTCGTATGGGGCTTATCCCCACGCTGGCCTTCCTTCTCCTGGAAAGAGCTGCACAGGGCAGACCTCGCAAATAGTGAGCACTGACAGGAACTAAGCACCTGCTCCATGGGATGTTTAGTGCTCAGACTCCACACAACCTTTTTGAACTAGTCACAAAGCTCAGGTTCAGCACACTTGATACAGTAGCCATCACTGCAAGGGGCTGGGTGAACATAAGCAGCACTAGGAAGAGTGAATTGGCATCAGTAAGTAGAGGAATTCCAGTTTCATAGCTATTACAGGAACCTCATAAAGCAAGCTTCCACTTAAAAACATTGCATTACAGACACAGAAAATAGGAAGGCACATGGTCTTTGTTACCTTCAACGGGAATTTTCATATTTAAAACGCATGCAGATGCATCAGTTAGGTCCACAGCACCTTTACAAAAGGCATTGCAACAACACACAGTGTTAGGTTTAACACGATGCAGTCCACACTTTCCAGGACAGCAACAATCATAGGTGGTGCTGAAAAGGCTAAAGACAGTCTACAATGGTCTACCGAAGAGTCACGCGCAAGCACTGCCGTATTTCCTCCCGAAAAAGCAGCTGCATCTCTGCCACCTCCTGGCAGCTCAGTGCCTTGTCACAGGACTGATAGGTCAGTCTGTAGCAGAGGCTCTTCCGTCCAGTCTCTGACTGCTGGAAACTATCAATTAACTGGATGGATACAACTGTTTCACGTGACACCTGCCTGGCAATAGTATGAAAAGCAACTTCATCGAACTGCTCCCCATCAGGAACCCAAAAGCTGACATCATGCACGTAGGAAGGGGGATAGAGAGAAAAACTCTTGAAAACCCTTAACTCTCCTCCAGGAAACTGACTGAGGAAGCGCTCATCTGATGTCCAGAGCATTCGCCAGTCTGCTATTCCACAGATCAGCATGGCTAGGAGGTCGAGATTCACTGATGCAAACACAGCCACCAAATCGCTGCTCTTTGGGCCATCACGAGCTGTGCTCGTGGATCCCACACAGCAGCCCTTCTCACAGGAGCCTAAAGCATCCGTTTCCACACAGACAAAGTGCTGAATTTTAGTAACCTGAGCTTCAAAAGCGGCAAAGTCATTTAGCTCCGTTGTTTCAAAGCTTGTTGCTTCCTGCAGAGTGATGTTCAATTTACAACCAGAAACAGTCTGGTGAAGGGAATGTATGCCGCTCCTAATGGTATCCGCCAACATCTGGATACAGCTGTTCTCCATACCCTTGTCAACTGCACATAAAAACACTGCCTCGTGAAAAACAGGCAGAGAGTGAGGAGAGATGGGACACTTCCTGAAAACAGGCCCAGAAAGAACATAAAGAGTCCCAGGCAGAAAGGTTGCTCTTTCTATTAGCGTCTGAACGTAGAGCAGCAGGGAAGGTCTAAGACAAATCTGTTCTGAAATGAGGTTGCCCTCTTGTACCTTCATCCAGCCATTCTCATCTGTGTCCTTGCAAAAATCAGCGTGGGAAAATAACACTGCATTTGCCGGTCCATTAGCCATTTGCTCAGTGCATGCATTCTCCTCTGGGCTGGGAACTATCCAAAAGACATTTGAGTGACAAACACCACTGATGTGACCTTGGTGGAGGAGAGGAAGGGAGCAGTCAATGCTTTGTATCGGAAAGGCTTGCCTGAGCACTGCAGTGAGCTTCTCCTTGACTGTTCTTACTGGATGATCTGAGTTTAGTTCTAGGAAACCCCTGTGAAAAACAACATGGCACATTACAGACACCACTCCGATTTGCTTGAAATGCCATCCTGTGATCCTAATTTGAGGGTGACAATTTACCCAAAGTGATCTCAGATGTTAAACCTGTTTTCAGGAGCCACCTGAACAAGGAGGCATAATAACTGCTAACACATTTTCAAGACACTGGGGTTTGCGTTGCAGTCAAGGATTAACTGCACTTTGGCTTGTGGAAAGCAACTTGGCAAGCATCATGAGGCTGCTGCTCAGCATTGGCATCACCAGGTTAAGGCAGTTAATCAAATGCAGACATTAGCCCCAGACATTCTCCAGAGTCTGCAGTAGTTCACCTAAAAGTTTAGCCCTTCTCATCCTAGCTAGCTTTTGTTTTGCAGTATTAGCAGACATCAAGTCAACGCCCAAATTCCTTCCAAGCTTCTGCGTGACATATTAAAACATTTATCTTTATTCCTGTGTGCAAAGTATTCACTGCCTCAGTCTTACTCAGAAAGTGCCCTTTCTTCTGTAGACTTATTTGGAACAGGCCACGACCAAAAGCCAACTCAAAGCAGACTTCCAGAAGAAATGGAAAAGGAAATTCTGTAAGGGGGAAAGGAGGGAGCGTGAAGCAACTCCATTTTATCTGAGAGTCAAGCTAGTCATATATGCTGTAGGGTGTGTTACTGCCAAACACTTGCTAATTATAATACCTACCTGTTAATTTTATCCACAAGTACCTGTGGCACTTGAAAAGAAACTCTTCTGCTTCCCAGTTCCATCTGGCAGATCATAGGTTTGAGAGGTGGAAGTGGCGTGCTTCGTGTGAAAACGTGGTTTAAAGCACCTTCTATACTGAAGGATTTATCTTGACTCCTGGCAATATATAAAAGCACAGCAAAGTCATTGACAAATCTGTATATTTAATGTGTCAGAAGTGTGCACAGTGACACAGATAACCTGAAGAAACCTACTGAGCCTAACACTAATGTATGTACCTATTGCTGAATGCCAGGTCTTGTTAGGAGGCGAGCAAAATGCTACGGTGTTTTTACTGTGGGTGGTCAAAAGCCAGCAGAGGTTATTCAGAGAGGTAGTGGAGTCTCCATCCTTGGAGATACTCAACATCCAATGGGACATGGCTCTAAGCAACCTGCCCTAGCCAGCCCTGCTTTGAGCTGCAGGGCAGGACTAGATGATCTCCAGAGGTCCCTGCCAACACCATCGAGGAGGCTATGATTCTACGATTGTCTGCTAGGCAGATACACCTACCATAGCTCCTTTGCTGTCTTTAAGGCAAGATTGACGTTTGTTCTGAAATGGATCACTTGGACCTTTAAAATCCTAAAATCATCTTATTTCTGGAGGATGCTTTCTCAAGAAGCTTGAATTTTAATCTTAACTATTCTCCTTAGAGACAAAAGAGATTAGTAGCTATTTTAAGGAATACTAAAGTGAGTTTCTCTCTCTCCAGGAAACAGCAGACTAAAGGAAGATATGATGGTGCCAGGCATTATGAAAGCATTAGTATCAGCTTTTGAGTTTTATCACATGGCAGTTACCTGTATCCAGTACATTTATATCCATGGATATTCTCTGCGTTGAAGGGATGAACATCGCTCAAGATAAATCTGGCTCCTGCCGCCATTGCCACTATTTGCCAGCTGTTGTGCCATGCTCTCCTTGGCCGATCAGCGGGTGTCCCACCCTGCCCGTTGCAAAGCGCCACATGGACCTCACCTTTCTCTGCCAGCACTTCTGCACAGCTAGAAGGAAAGCCGGGCAGTAAGAAAAATTTACTAGTGTGCTCAGGAGTTGCGTAGTGCTAGTGAAATGGGGCTCTGTAACGGGGCTAGAAGGCTGTCTCGCAGCAGTCAGTTTGCAGAGAGCTAACTCTGCTCACCTAGAGAAAAACTGGGCAAGCAGCGCTCTGTTCTTCATCACCCCAGCTTTCCTTCCACAGTGAGGGAAGTTGAAATAAATACAGGAAAACGCTCCGTCTGCTGGTAAAAAGTAGTCCCTCAGCTTGGTGCAGTCCACAGAAAACAGAACTTCGGCTCCTCAAAGGCAAACAAAAAGAAGAATCTGACATTTTAAGTTACGGAAAGTTTTTAAACAAAGGTAACCGCTAAACTGCATTAAAAGAGAAAGACTAAACCGGGCTGTTAAGACAGTCGACCTGCAGCACAACTTCAACTTCCGGGCATACATGTAATGAAGAAGAAGAAGGGAAAAAAATAAAAAAACCCCACAGGCCTGCCCAGCCCACTTGCCGGTGGC